GCGGCGGCGGCAGCGGCGGCGGCGGCAGCGGGAGATGGCTGGCCCGCAGCAGGCCCCGCACCTCCACCTGGCCGAGCTCACCGCCTCCCAGTTCCTCGACGTCTGGCGACATTTCGACACGGACGGTCAGTCCCGGGGCGCGGGGGACCCGCCGTCACCTCCGCCAAAACCGGCGGGGAGGGCACCGGGCTGAGCATCCCCGGGAGCGCGGGGCGAGGGGGGACATTGGAGAGTCCCCGGACATCCCGTCGGGGGGAGCCCAGAGGAGGTTCCTCCGCCGCCGCAGCCCCAGGGAGAACGGGGAGCACCCGGCGCGATGGGGAGTCCCCCGGGATGGTGGGGAGCCCCTGGGGTGCAGCCCCGTCGGGGAGAACTCCGGGATTGTGGAGACGATCGGCCTCCCAGGATCTCCCCGTCGGGAAAGGATGGGGACCCCCGGCACCGGAGCCCACCAGGAGCCCGTGGAGATGAGCCCGGGGTACCCCGGGTTTCCTTTGTCCGTCCCCCAGGTGCCAGGTACCCCGAGAGCGGGGGCTCGCTTAGGGCTGGTGTCACCTTTGGGTGCTGGCTGAGGAGTTCTGCCCTTCCCGGGGTGCCCCCTCCAGGAAACCCTTGCCCACCCCTCTGCCCTTTCATTCCCCATCCTTGGCTCCTGGGTTTGGGGGGTCACACAGCCACCAGCCTGGTCCCAGGGCCACCCCCTTGCCCTGGAAGCAAGGAGTGACAGAGAGGGTGTCCCTTGCCCGGAGCAGGGTGAAGGAGTGGCCCCTCCATGGCTGGGGTGCTCCATCCCTCCCCACCTGCTTCCCAGCCCCGCAGAACCTCTCCCGGGGATGCTGTGCCAGTGGCCATGTCCCCAACGGGGATGTCACCTCCCCACGGAGTCACAGCTGGACATGCCACTCCGGGTGCCCGTTGCTGCCAGCCCCAAAAAGCAGACAGAAAATGCAAAAAGCAGCATCGTTTTGGTGGGAAAATAGTTTATTTCAGCTCCGTGGTGCTGTGGAGGCTCAGCCCGCTGGGGCGAGCAGCCGGGGAAAAGCTCTTGCCCTTCCCTGGGTCTCCCGTCCATGCGGGGAGATTTGGGGACAAAAACCCTCCTGGAAACTGCGTCACGCCGGGTCCCCGGCTGCGCTGCTGAAGCGGGAGCTCAGGCTGTGCTGGGTGCCCTCCCGGACACGCCGTCGGGGTCCCTCCTGCACCCCCCACAGCGCCGGGGACACCGACACCACCGTCCCAGTCACCGCTGGAGCTGGCACTGGAGCAGCCGAGGGCCTGGGGAAGGTGGGACAGCGGGACCCCAGCCGGAGTGGGCAGCTCCCGGTGTGGGTGTCCAGTTGCCCCCCTGCAGCACGTCCCGCTGTGCTTTTGGATGTGCTCCGGCATCTCCAAAACACAGAGGCAGGCACGGATCCAGCTTGGGTTGCGGCCCCCGGGCAGGGTAAAGCTGTCGGGCTGTGTCACGGCGGGTGCCCAGGAGAGGAGGGACTCGGGCGTCAGGGAGATGGTGGCCTTGACGCGGACGATGCTCAGCTGCTCCAGGCGGAAGCTGCAACAGCCCCGGCCGCTTCCCTCTGCCGATGGGCACGGGATGCTGGAGGGTCCCAGGGTTCCTCCCCCTGTGGACAGAGCTGTCTCCCCCAAGCTCTTCCCTAGTCTCAAACCCCTCCAATGGGTTTTCACCCACTTCCCCTTGAGGCTCCTCATGCCCCAGAGGTGTCCCTTTGGGTGTCTTTGACGTCCTCGCTTTGCCAGCCACAGCTGTCCTGTGGCTCCGCAGCACAGGGAGGCTCCAAGGTGCAGGTGCATGGACTGGCCGTGGCTCTCCAGAGGGTATTTTCTGGGTCACTCCACACCCCACCACTCTGCAGACATGGATCAGACCAAGCTACCAGCCATGGCATTTCTTGTCATTATTCCTTTTCCTGGCTCAAAACTCTTGCTCATTTTTTTCCCCAACTGATTTCAAAGGAGCCTGGGGCTCTCCCACACCCGCAAAAGCAAAGCCTCTGGGAAGGGCAGTGGAAAGCCAAGCCCATCAGCAGCTCACACCAGCACCCTGATATCGCCCAAGCCCCTCATCACCTCCTGGGAGGGATGCTACTCAGCCATCGGGATGTGGCCGTCAAAGAGGAAGGTGCCCCAAGACTTCCCGAGGCGCTTCCAGCCAGGATGTGGATGGGTTATTCCCAGCTACCACGTTGCAGCGGGGAGAAGATGCTGCTGGGGAGCCTGTGGGTGATGATGTCGAAGGTGGCACAGGACAGGGCGCCACGGTCCAAGCCTCTGGAAGATGAAATGGGGAGGGGTTTGGGGGGGATGCCCACAAAGAAGAGCCCTTGTTAGACCTCAGTCAGGCAACTTGGGGGAAAGGGCAGCATCCCCCAGCTGGGTCCAGACGTTGCCAGGAGAGAGGATTTCTGGCAGGGTGGTGGCAGCACTGCAGAGCCGGTGTCCTTGCTGCGGTCCCCTGGCACGTCACCCCCTCAGAGCCACCAAGGGTCACTACCAAGGGAGCGATGCATGGGTGGGTCGGTCCTGGCTGAGCCATTCTGCCACTGAGCATCCTGCGGGTGGGAAGGGCTGTGGATACCCCAGGTTCGGTAGGAAACACATCTCAGCACAGATATCAGCAGTGAGGGGTGAGAGTCCATGGGACAGAGATCTTTCTGAGCCCTTGGCCTCCTCAGAGACTGGTGCTGGGCTGACTCCATCATCCTGGGACTGGTCCTGCATTCGGGGAGTGACGCTGTGGCAGGTGCCTTCCCTCTGCTCCCTGCTTGCCCTTGCTGGCCCTCACAGTCCTGGCTGGGGGTGCTCAGGAAGGAAAGGTTTAATTAAACCAACCACTTACAGCATCAGATGCAGAAAATGCAGCATACACTGGGATGGGGACAAAGTCCCCTGCAATGGGGATGGGGACGAAGCACCCTGCTCCCTACGGGCAGGTGCAGGGGACAAGCCTAGGGCCACGTCCCCATTCCAGGCTACAACACACAGGGCTCCATCTCTCTGCAAATTCGAGCATTGCCGGGTTTGTGTAACACTCAGCATCAACTGGTGTTTCTTTGCTGCCACAGTTGCCTTGAAGCCGTGTCCCTGCGCGAAGGGGGACAAGTGCTGTATCCCCTGGGAGCGTCGCTCCCTTGCCTCCCGCGCTCTGACACCGAGGGGCGGGGGGGAGGGGTGTGTGTGTGTGTCTTATTGCAATTTTTTCCTTTCCTAGGAAATGGCTACATTGAAGGCAAAGAGCTGGAAAACTTCTTCCAGGAGCTGGAAAGCGCAAGGAAGGGGGCGGGTGTGGTAAGGGCCTCTCCTCATTTCACCCCCTGCTTCCCTCTTTCCCTCCTGCCCGAGGGTTCAGGCTCAAGTCAGCCCGGTTTAGGAATGGCACCAACAAACGGGACTGGGGCAGCTCAGGTTTTGCCAGATCCCAGCAGGGAGGAGAGCAGGGGGACACCGGCACAGGGTGGGAGGGTAAACACTCCCATCCCCTCCTCCTTGCTGGCAGGACTCCAAGAATGACAACTTGGGCGACAAGATGAAGGAGTTCATGCACAAGTACGACAAAAACGCTGACGGCAAAATCGAGATGGCGGAGGTGAGTGGTGCTGGCCCTGCGGATCCCGGGGATGCTTGCGGTCCTCCCCTGACACTCATGTTCTGCACCCCCGCTGCTCATGTTCCCTGCAGCTGGCCCAGATCCTGCCCACGGAGGAGAATTTCCTGTTGTGTTTCCGCCAGCACGTGGGCTCCAGCTCGGAGTTCATGGAGGTGAGCAGGGCAGGCTGTGCCGGGACTCCCCGTGGGATTCGGTCTCCCAGAGAAACAACTGGGAGCTTGCATTACCCAAGTCCCCCCCTTCCCCCAGTCTCCTCCAAACTCTTGGCTTGAGCTCAGCATTGGGCAGTGGTGCTGGTCTGGGGGGAGAGCAGGAGTGTGGTGAGTTTTCCCAGCCCTCAGAGCCCCTTGGGCATCTTTCGGGGCAGCAGAGCACCTCGTCCCGGTCTCCAGGTGAGGTGAGCTGTGGGGACTTGGAGCTGTTTCTGCAAATTCCCCCTTCTTAGTTGGTCCTTAGAGCCCAAGGGACGTGCTGAAGCAGAAAACGCTGCTCTGGGCCACCCCAAGACCTTGCCATGCCCTTACACGGGGTGAACCTATCTGCAGGGTGTGATAGAAATTCCAATGGGGTCCAAAACGTGGCTGGAGATGGAGGGGGAAGTGCAGCTTCCTGGGTGGGGAGAGCTTGTGCTTGGAAAATGATCCCAGGGTGGAGGTGACAGCTGAAAGTGAAGCACCCTGCGGCATGGGGGGGTGGGTAAACGGGCACTATGGTTTAATCGGGGGATGCAATCAAATATTAAAGCCTGGCCTTGCACATCAAAGCAAGGGTAACAGTGCTTGAACTCTTGGCACAGGCCTGAACAAAAGCATCCAGCCTCAAGGGAGAGCATGTGGCACCAGTGAGGCCACCATGAGCCGAGATCGGGAGCCGTGAGCTGACCCCATCTCTGCAAGGGTGGTGGGGGATGCTCCAGGTGGGGGGTTATGGGGGCACAAATGTGTCGGGGGTGGGGGAAATGTGGGAAATGAGCCCATGGTGACATTTGCAGTGGCTGCTTCACAGGCTTGGCGCAGGTACGACACAGACCGCAGCGGCTACATCGAAGCCAATGAGCTCAAGGTGGGCTGCAGGCATGGGGTGGGCTGAGCCGGGTCCCCACCGGTGGGGCAGCCCCCTGGGACAGCTGGGGACAGCCAGCGACACCTTCTCCTTCCAGGGCTTCTTGTCAGACCTGCTGAAGAAAGCGAACCGGCCCTACGACGAGCCCAAGCTGCAGGAGTACACACAGACCATCGTAAGTGGGACCTCCAGGCCGGTCCCGGGGGACCATGGCTCTGCCAGGACAGGGCAGAGACCAAGGACACACACACCCCACCCCACCCCTCC